ATATATCTATAATAAACATCTTATGACCTGATTGAAACCTTTTGTACCATTTAATTAGTCTCAAGAAGAAACAAATGGTATAAAATACGAAATGTGGTTAATAATATTACTAGATTTGCCACAATACTTTAACCATGCGACATTTAAGCGGTGTGGCTATGCTAAGTTTGATCCCATCTACATTTTTGTCAATAGAAAATAGATCATTAAATAATTATGTACTTCAATAATTAAAAGCAGGTGAGCATAAAATTCGCTTCTTCTGATCATTTTTTAATAGAAATTCGTCATTAAATAACTATTACTTCTAAAAGGGAGTAAGTATAATTTATTTGTGGAAATACTTTTGCGGCACATTGTGTCATGGCACTTGATGTTAGGGTTAGGTAAAAGTTTGCAAGGAACTTTTTCTTGTTAAAACCCGAAAGGTGATATCATAAACAAAATTTTGAGTTATACAGTTGTACTCCTCTATAATCACCTCCTATATAATCATAAATTCTATTTAATCACCTTAAGTTTTGAAAAAATTCATTAATAATCATATAAAAAATGCTTCTATATAAGCATATCATAATAGAATTTTTATAATCACATATTTTTTGTATAGAACAAACTGAGCAGTTATAGAGGAGTACGACTGTAATGATTTTAAAAAATCGGTTTTGTTACATGAAGCACTCATGAAGCTGATTTACATGTTACACCTGATCTTAACTTTTGATTGGCTATAATACACTAGTGCCATAAAAATATTCCCATATTTTATTTATTGTTACGTAGAAGATTCTTAAATTATAATTAATTTAATTTAAAAGGGAATGAGTACAAAATTTCAGTTTTGTTTAATTTAAATAGTGAATTATTGACTAATTATTTAATTTAAATGGTGAATTTATTGACTAATTATTTAATTTAAAAGAGGGTAGGTATAAAATTCATTTACATATTTTAAATAGAACATTTATCATTAAATAATTATTTAATCTAAAAGATAGTGAGTACAAGTCTATTTAAGTTTTAATTTTAAATTCATTGTATTGAGTAAACATAATAAACCTAATATTTAAATTCAGCACCAGAAAATGGTTTCAAAGCATTATTAAAGAATATAATTTAAAGGAAATACCCTATAACACCTTGAGAAATAAGAAAAAATTAAGAAGTGGAGGTTTTGGAAAGGTGTTTAAAGCAACATCTAGCTCATTAGGTTACGTGGCCATTAAAGAAGTAGAATCAGAATCAGAGACAGATGAAAAGGCTCGAAAAGCTTTTTATTAATGAGGTAAATGTCAAATATATAGATCCTAAAATTTGTTATTTATTGGTTTCTAAAACACAATGGTATTTTTAGCTAAAACAACTCAATAGATCTGGTCATGAGCGAGTCATTAAATTTCATGGAATTAGTTTTAGTAAGTTATTTATAACTTCTATATTATCATGAGTTTTCGGCAAATTAATTAAATAATATTACAAAAATTTTTTTACAAGACGAAATAGAGAAAACACCTTATCTTGTAATGGAATATGCAGACAATGGGACTTTACGAGAATACCTACGGAATAATGAATTATAATGGCCGGAAAAAATTCGATTAGCGAAACAAATAGCTGAAGGAATGTCTTATCTTCACGATATAGATATCACACATCGTGACTTGGTAAAGCGTATAATCTTAATTTCATCGCTATAAGTATCAAATTACTCATAATCATATTATCCTTAATTTAGCACACTGCGAACATTCTTATTCATAAGAAAGACGTTAAAATTTCAGATTTCGGATTTTCAAAATATCTTAAAACCGAAGCAATAACCACCAGTAAAGAAATTTGCGGAGTAATCCCTTTTATTGATCCTCGTAAACTTAATGATCCAAAGTATCCGTATGATAAAAAGTCTGATGTATACAGTATGGGTGTGCTATTGTGGGAGATTTCCAGTAATGGAAGCGTCCCATTTAGTAGTCAAGGTTATGATGCATGCCTCCCATTTAGAATTATTCGAGGATCACGTGAAGAACGTATCATAGGAACACCTGTACAATACATTAGTCTTTATTCGAAATGTTGGGATTACGAACCAAATAAGCGCCCTTCAATGCCAGACATTCTCCGACAATTAAATTCCTTGGAATTAGACCCTAAATATGATGGTACTAATTAGATTTTTCTTTTAAACAATTGATTCGAAACCGATGGTACAATTTGTACTTTATTTGATATATGAATACTGTACCCGATAAATACACTTTACTATAGCATGAGTTATCAAATTTACAATACTATATATATATATAAAATAAAAAAATTCTTAATTTATACTACTGTACTAGTGCATAAAACACGGTATACAGTAATCCATATGGCACAAAATTTAAAAGCAAAAAATTAAATTAAGATTTGAGCAACTTGAAAAATACTTGATAATAATCTAATAAACTTTATTGGAACTAATTTCTTTTTTACAAGGACAGATTTATAGAACTTGACACAGATTCATTGGCTGACGTTACAAAAATGTAACAGGAAATTTTACTAACCAAAAAAAAAATTGTAAGTAGTATAGATCTTAAAATAGATGTAATCATTAAAGATCGCATGAAAAAGCACTAAAATAAAGATTAGAATATAAAATTGTTTTTGCAACTTTTTAATAGATTTTCATGATTTTATATTCATTAGTTAGTGCATTAATCTTGTTTAAAACAATGCCACTATAAATTAACCTTCAAAAATCACCATAACTTTTGGCGGGACGTTGTACTCAAGTACGTACGTTCGTACGTCGTATTTTTCAGAACTGTGCATATTTTATTGTTTATGTAAATTTGGAAATTTTGATTAGCAAAAAAAAATATATACAATTATGATAAGAATATATATATATATATATATATATATATATATATATATATATATATGATATATATATGTATATATCTGATATATATATATATGTATATATCTGATATATATATATATGTATATATATATGTATATATCTGATATATATATATATGTATATATATATGTATATATATCTGAGTATATATATATATGTATATGTGTTGTATATAAGTGGGAATGGAATTTAAGTGAATTTGGGATTTCCTAGTTAAATTAGGGTTAGGGTGTACATATGATATAATCAACCCCAAAACGGGGTTTTATATACGTATAAATTCCGAATTCACTTAAATTCCGTTTCCACTTACAATATATATATATATATATATAATTATTTCACTAGATTAATATTAAAACCATACCAAGAAATTGATGATAACAAATGAAAATATTATTCGGAAGGATTTGCTGCGTATTTTGGATAAACCGGATTTCCTGCTCTAGATGGTCTGGTTATGGGCCTATAAGTTACTCGGCGTGCGGTTCTAGAACTAAGAGAATCAGTACTAAGTTTGATTTGCGGGGTGCATTTACAGTCAGATGGATCAACATAGTAATTATTTGGACAATCGATTACAGGACACGTTTGTTGTGGTGAAGCAGTGATTGAGGTTGTGGGCGATGAAGTTGTCTTTGAGATGCATTTGCATTCAGATTGATCCCATTTGTAATCGTTTTGACAAAAGGCTTTTCGAATACATGTGGTTTTTGGAGAAGCAGTGGTTGTTGGTGTAGTTGTGGTTATTGGTAAAGCAGTGGTTGCGAATGGTTTTGTAGTTCTGGCGGCGGGAGATTTGTAATGGTGAAAGAACTTAAGAATATGACGCAATGATCTACGATTATGATGCTCGCTTTGATGATGGAGATGTCCATCAACAATTGCAAGGGTGATGAGGATGAAAGTAATGAAGTAGAAAACAATCTTCATAATGGGAGGTTTGAGTAAAGAACGAAAAAAGGATGATAAGAAAATCGAGAGTGTTTATTTTTCACTTAACAAAAATCATGTTCACTTTATAGCAGTTTTAAATTATCTACGTTTTTTTTGTACTAAATTGCTTGCATTTATTTACATTTGCTTTTTTTATTATTTATTGGTAGGTAATCTTGCAATATACATATACTGTGTATTAGTTTTATTAAAAAATACCTCAAGAATCATTTAACGCATTCGGGTTTTCTCATTGTTTGCCAAATTCAATGAATACCAAAATTAATTGTGATGCGTTTTTCTCATTGTTTGCCAAATTCAATGAATGCAGAGATTAAGTGTGATGTGATGTTCTCATTGTTTGCCAAATTCAATGAATACAGAGATTAAGTGTGATGCATTTGATCTTTTTTTTCTGTAATGCATTTAATGTGTACAAATTATAAAATGCAGTACAGGATCACTTGCAGAAAAAATGCACCATAAATATAAAGTCCCAAGAAAAACTTGCATATCATATTTAGTTTGTTTGTACATACTTACGTGGATTGATGCCAGAAACTGATTTAAAAAAAGGCTTCTTGTCACATTTTATTCTGCGTTGAAGTAAATAATTTTACTATTCAATGTGTTATCAATCGAAACGTGCCGTAGTTTGAACACTATGATTTTATAAGTTTAATTCAGTTAATACTGACGTGGGGCATGGCTTATAATGTATAGATAGTCAAATATTCTGAATTTCTAATCGTGTTTTTTAAGAAAATAATTGCACTCACGTTTTAGTTGACACATCTTATGTATACTAGCATATTTAGCACATCTCCGCATTTAGAAACTTTTAACTCTTTGAAATCGATATTATGTAAAGAAATTACTTGTGCCTTAATAATGATAGATCATTCTTTCATTTCTAAAACAGGTTATTTAACTCCTTAACGTTAATATCAATTCGCATGAATATTTGAAAATACATATAAACTATAAATATTGGGTATAGGGATATTATCTGCTGATTCAGTTCTGTTTATTAACTGGTTTTTATAATATTTAAATTTACAAGCCGTTTCAAACCTATAGGAAGACTTTCGTATGATTTGCTGTTTAAGTTTATTTAATTTTACAGTTTAAAGTACATTTTAAACTACAAAAAATAAACAAAAAAAGAAAGTTTTATTAGGGTTGTATGACTCTATTACAGGATTAAAAATAATCCAAAATCTTTTTGTTTAGAGAAGTTAGCATGGTAATAACCTAATTCTATCTATCTTTATTATGTTAACTTCTCTAAAATTAAAAAGGATTTTGATTACTTTCGATGATGGAGTCCTACAACCAAATTAAACTTTTTATATCCTTCTTTTTTGTTTATTCTTCATAGTTGATCTTTTTTAAAACGTACTTTAAACTAGGGATGTTATCCTGCTTACCCGAACTCGGTTCGACCCTGTTTGAAACCCGAACCTGAGTTTTGAAGACACGTGATTTTCATTATCATATTTAAACTCATGCTCAAAACGAGTTTGAAATCGATTAAATGAGCAAAATGCTTGATTTGTAATTACGTAATTAATTATTATCTTTACGGCATTACGTTTACATTAATATGACGAAAATTAATTTTCTTTCTAATCTTAATTGAAAGTTAATTTATTGTGGCGACAGGGACTACTTGATTATACAAGCAACCAGCGTACCGAGCGAAGAAATGTTTTCGAAGGCAAAAATATAATCAATCCAAACGGAATCGATTATCTGAAGAGAATGCTTCCGCAAGACTCTGTGTAAAGACATGGTATTAATCGAGTATTATTGATTGTTATGAAGGTTAATAAATTAGGTATATATATTAATTGCGTAGGTCAATAAATAAACAATAGCGATAGATACAACACATGGGTTCTACCGCAAAATTCCGACGTCCAAATCTCGAAAACCATAATCCCGACGTGACAATTAAAATTTAAAGATTAGTAATCACATTAACAATCATTGTCAGGCTTAAATTTTTAATTTTCACGTCGCGTAATGTTAGTATTATGGCTTGTCAAGATTTTAAATGGGATCTTGCGGTAGAACCACAATAAGTAATGCAAAAATTTATATTTTTAAATGTTTGCTTTAATAAATTGTAATAGTTCTACTAACTTGCACGCGCAAGCACAATGACTTATGAACTAAGTTCGCAAACCAGTTTTAAGTATATGCTTTGAAACAGTGTTCCAACGCGTTTTTAAGCACAAACTAACCAGTTGGAGCAGGATAACATCTCTACTTTAAAGTGTATAAATAACGTAAAATTAAACAGACTTAAACAGCCAATCATACGAAAGTCTTCCTATGAGTGTCACGCCGATAATAACCCTAATCTGAATATGTATACAGACAAATAATTTTGATCATTAGAATAAATATTTCGTTCCGATCTTAGTTTTAATAATTACTAGTGCCTGAGCATATCATGATGTTCATGCGTTATTAAGAATAAGCTCTCTTTTGTATAGTTCATATGAGACCTGCCAAGGTAAAACCTGTAATTGTTAGTTTTCCGAAATTTCATTTTCAGCAACGGCATATAAGAATCTG